TGCACTATATTTACTTTTGGTTCGTTTTCAATATTAGCACAATGTACTTCCTTCTCACTTCAATAAACTCCTATTGATATATTTATCACCACGTTAAAAAAGCCGTCTTATTAAGATTATTGGAATACTAATTATCGTGTATAACAAGCGGACGGTAAAAATATCAGTAAATCGCTTAAGGTAGCAGTTGCCGTTATTTCCGGTAATTAACTAGACCAAATACGAGACACGATCAGAAATATGGCATTAACGACTTTAAAAGCTAAACTAATTAGAATTTTTCAAATTATTCATTTACAGTTGCTATATTTAGGTATTTATTAGCAATCTGCAATATTGTATACCTATGTGTTTCGTAAATGTTTTCATTTAAACTCTCGCGGTGTTAATTATAAAAAACCCATTAATTACACAGCTCCACAAAAAGAGTTCTGTTACAGAGACGTGAGAACATAGATCTTGTGTATATTTTTATGCTGAATCCGAATCTGCATCCTAAAAACCGATTTACCAGGTCATTTTTTAGTAAAACGCTAAAATATCCCTTAAAATAAAATGAAATAGTGGGATAAGATAAAGCTTTATAATGAAATGCAACAATTTGCAAATACTTTGAGAAAATAGTTTAAAATAATATTTTGAGCATTGGAAGTGCACATTAAATGCAAACCCACCCCACAAGGGGGTTAATTCTACGCCTAAAATGTATGTCAGTGCAAAATAATGTGAAAAACCATAGCCTTATATTTTATACTACCAAATATGTAAATGAAGTTAATAGACAACATACTCAAAAAATATAATATAACACATCCCTCAAAGTCGTTAATCACGAATATAAGGTTTTAATTCAGAAATTCTTAAATCCAAAATGGCAGACCCATTATCGCGGATTGAAAAGTACCATAGAAATTGGTATTTACCACACAAAGAAATGCGTTATGAATGTTTAAAAATTGAGTCATTTGAGTAAAAATAGGCAGATGTCTAAAATGAGAAACAAAGAATATAAATTCTATTTGCAATGTGCTGTCTCTTTCAAATTCTACTACCAATCTCAGTAGGTAAGATTTTAGAGCAAAAAAATATAAATTTGATCATTCAAGTATAGCAAACTGTCTCAACTAAAGGGGTGTAGTTTCTCATCCCTGCAAGTGCTAGTTAGAATTTAATGGGACCTTGTAAGTGGTTTCCAACCCTTTGAGGAATAAGTTATATTACATTTTTTTGGTATGTTGTCTGTCAACCTACATTTGGTAGTACAAAATACAAGGCTATGGTTTTTTACATTGTTTTGCACTGACAATGATTAATTCATCTTAGGTGTGGAATCAACCTCCTTGTAGGGGTGAGTGTGGATTTAATTTGCATATATTTCTTTACAAATTGCTGCTATTTTACGGGATATTTTAGCGTTTTACTAAAAAATGTTCAGGTAGATTGAATTTGTGACAGTTCAACGTACCAACCCGTTATATTGCAACATTCCATGTTGCCTACTTTTCATGCATCAGCCTGTATTTCAGGATTGGAAGCGTCCTTGCTCAAACATTTATTACCTAGTTCTATTATTTTTTTTGCAAAAAATTGGCCCCACTGGGTGACATTTGGAAATGGAAATAACGAGCACAAATTTAATCTCCGATATAAATTATAACGACTTGAAGTTCGTTAATAAGAGAAGTCCCACATAAGGAAGATAAAAAAACAGTCGGCTGCGATATCGATAACACGGGCACGTATCAGTGGGTAGAATCATTAAAAAAATTTATCGATACAGGTAATAAGCAAATAAATGATAATGTGTACGCGTAAAACGAGATCTGCTGAATGCCGGGTCGTTGATGCAACCTTATAAAATCTTCAAGAGAGACAGGTAGATAGTAGCACCTGCCCATCTTTCCCACGGTCCACCGGAAGTCCAATTATCCATAGCCACCTCGACAAGTAATAAGGATTCGCATGGGCGTTTCGATGCGATTGCAGATAGGGTACTTTCCCCACCAGAGGATGCTTAAGATTAATTATGGTGAACCGCTGTGCTATACTGAGGACTTGTGCCGATGTACGGGGTGACTAGTCTATACAAGGTTTTGCAATTTTCTAGTCAGAAAAGCTTTTATATTGGTATTTTCGATGATAAAATAAACAAAATCAATTCAATATATTTTGCCACACTCAAGTAATGACAGTTCTGATCCGTGCATTCATATTTGTGCTCCACGTAGCTAATTACAATGAAGTTCGGTTATAACCATATTCAAGGAACAATAAGCAAAATAAAACTTGTGTACTCTTTTATTTCTTGAATTAGAGTTTTAAGAGATTTTCTTCTGACTTTGGAGCAGTACAACACAAGTTTGAACAATTTTTCACGATTACAGGGATTTAATGTTATATAAGGAAATGTTTAACAGTAACGCGATATGGCCAAAGAAGGATGTCATAAGTGTGTTAGACAAAAACTTGATTGTCTAGGAACTAACAATAATCTTTTTCTAACAATTGAACTTATGAGATACCTACTCATATCACTGTAATTTTATTTTAAAAGAAAAACGGTACCATGATTTTATTTCCATAATGTTTTACTTTATAAATACAAGAAAATTTCCTCAATCTTTGGTATTCTAAGTGCAAAGGTAAAATAATTATTAAATTTTAAAGAAAAGTCTAATAATTCCTCTCAAACCCTCACTGAAAGAAATGCGCTGTATTCTTTATTAGAATTCTATATGCCCTTATAAGACCATTGTATACTATATGTGACAGTTAAACAGGTGGATATTGGATATAAAACGCGTACTGCTAGCACAGTTGTATTGTGACTATAAACCTTATTCTTTATTAAATTATTGTATAACTAATATACAACGTTTTTTATACCCTTTACGAAATAATAGCAATAACTGTTATTAAAGTGTTCCATATCGTTATTAGAACATCTAGTTCCTATAATAATAAATGTATTAAACTGTTGTATACTCTGTATGAGTTAAAAATATATGACTAAGTTTTCAGAACTTTTATTGGATAACTGTAATTACAAGCTAAGGTTCTAATGTAAACATACACAAAACATACTTTTAAGTATTAAAAATGATGAAAAATCGCTCCCAAAATTGTCCAGTTTATTTTCTTAGTAACGATGCACCCGTATTTTCTTGTATTACATGAGAATTTGCACTATAACTCTTCCACCTTAAGAATGAAGCATCCCCTAAAAGGTTGAACATCTTTCCTTCTAATTCTATTCCCTCTGGTTGATTGACTTTATACCCATGATCCTCTTTGTCACCGCTAGCGTTCTGTTCCTCCATCTTATGTAAAACTTCTATCAGCGGTTTCTAATAGGGCATACCTACAAGATAATAATTTTTAAGATTTAGTCAAGATTTACATTTGAAAAACAAAACAATTACAAGCCATAAAACAATTAGATACATAATTTTCCATTTCACACAACGCGATATGATCATGTATCCCACAAAACATGTGCCTATACCGTCTATTTTCATCAAACTAGACGTGTAATATTCGTAAGTCGATGCACAGCGGACTGTCGGAAATTTTACGATCATAATCGATTATGCACGGAGAGGTGACGATCACTTAACCATTATAAGACGCATTTTACACGTTAAAAACGGAAACATATTCAGTATAAGAACGAATAATTCTGTTAATATAATTGTTATATACAAATTCGGATACTGGTCTTTATACAACAAATCTTCCCTACTATACAATTGGAACATAAAGTCTATAACACCTAATAATGAATAAGTAATTCATTATAACCTTTGTTTCATAGATGCATAAGGTGTATTAAGCACCTTCCAGTTAAACTCATTCTATAATGAGTATGGAGATGATTTTTCTTTTTAATAAAAGTCGTATATTGGTTATAAAAGTTTTAATATGCGCTATACACATTATTCTAGATAAGCAGTTTAATAAGCCCATTTCTTTCAGTGCTTTATTAATGACTTGTTAAACGACTACTAGCTTCCAAATCTACGTTATATAACTTTTTAGATAATTTTTTTCCAAGGATTCAAATTTCAAGAAGAGTAGGTATAAACTTTGAGTTTAAAAATGGTCAAATGTAAAACTGTTAGTGTAGAAGATTTATATGAGTACTAAGTAGAAGAAAGTATCCAAATTTGAGATACTTTTTTTAGAAATTGAAAATAAAATACTATAAAAGAAAAAACAATATATATTTCAACAAAATTGTGTACCTTACAGTTGTTAAGATGTGTTGAAATAAACAAATAAATACGAAAAACTTATTCTTACTAAAAAAAGTGCCTTTTTTGACATTTTAATTAACAAAAGAAAAGGTTCCTAATTTGAGGTAGGCAGGTATCTATATTTGAGATAGTGGTATTAATTTGAGACAGTATTCAAAAAAACCTTTCCCGTCATATAAAGAGCAAATGAACGTGCTACTCGTGATTTCACCACATTCTTCATGTGCCCATCTGCCACAATGAACACATTTTGCCCACTTTTCACCATGTTTATCTTCAGAAAAACGGACCATGCAAAATAAATATTCAGCATCACTTCCACCGCTCTCATCTGAGGAAGAATCAGCCAAGCCGATACTTTTGATGCTTACTGACCTTGAACTGGACCAGATTCGTTTCTTGGTTTTCCTTGGCTTTCTCGATGTAGATGGTTCATTATTTTGTAAATCTGCATTTTGTATTGCACTTGATGTAGCGTCTATACTCTTTTTAGTTGGATTTCTTTTCGTTGAGATGGTGATGCAGCTTGCAAAACTTTTTTAGGTACCTATTGCCTTATTTTTTTTTCTTACCTAGACATTCTTGGAATTCATTTTTGTAAGGGGTTAGTGTAATAATTGATGCATTTCCTGACCTTGCATTTAATTTATTATTTTTATTTTTGTATGAAGGCAACGGACAAATATCTGTTGGTGACACTAACTTCTTTTCAATTTTATTTCTCAACAGTGGACTGGGTGTTCGCTACTCTCTAAATGGTTCTGGGATATTTGCAGGAATACTTTCAATGTCATCGTTGGGAGGGGCATCAGCGCATGAATTGTTAACTTGCTTGGTTCTTTCCTTAAGGTTAAGTGCAGTATCTGCATTGTCACTCAGTTGCTCTTCGTTTCCATTGCATCCACCCTGTGCTTCTGAATAATCTGTAACCTCAACTGGTGGTTGATCTTCTGTTTGATGGACACCAAAATCGCTGTCTCTAAAAACATGTCGGTTAAGGGGCACCAATCCGGTTTTTCTAAACCCATTGCATGATGCCTCCATTGTAGCAGCTCTGTTGTACGCTTTGCAAAAAATACCAGCAACTGCATATGGTGAAACAGTACTCAATTGGTTTTCCCTCAGCCAGTTCTCTATCTCTTGTGCGTAATAAGTTTTTAACGGGAACATAAAAGCCACATCTAAAGGCTGCATTTTATTTGTTGAATGAGGTGGGAGGCATATTATTGTTACATAATTTTCTTTTGCCAACTCTATCAGCTCAATATTTCTCGTATGCGAACAGTGTCCATCTAGTACGAGTAAAACAGGATCGGAGGCACTAGGTTTGGTGAACTTTATAAAATGCTTGAACCATTTTGTAAAAATTTCTGCTTGTACCCAGCCCGATATATGGCACTCTGCTATTGCTTCAGTTGGGGCTCCTAACATCAACTCTGCCTTCATATTTTTCCTTGGAAAAATTAGTAGTGGTGGAATGTATACATCTGCAGCATTCATGCATGTAATAACAGTAATCAATTTGCCCCGTTCTGCTGAAATTAATGACGAAACTTGTCTTTTTCCTTTCAGAGATATAACTTTACTGTATTTATGCTGAACCACGGTAATTCCAGTTTCGTCGACGATAAATACCCTATGGAACGGCTCCCGTAGTTTGTTATATTGTGGCTTATAAAGGTCGAAAAATTTCGAAACATTTTCAGTCGTGAAGCTTTTGATTCTCGCAGCTGACATTCCTTGAGGAGTTCGCATAGAGAGTTGTGGATGCCGCTTCAAAAATAATCGCAACCATTTCTTCCAGCTGATTTTTTGATTCCATTAAATAGATGCGATGCATGATTTCTAATAGCAAGCTGATATGCCAATCGTTTTATATCACGTGCTCTTAGCCCAAAAAAGCGTTCCTCCATGGCTAACGCGTATTGTACCAATTCGTTTTTTAGCTGGGAAGACAGAACTGCTTTCCGGCCAATTGATAAACCAACAAGTTCTTCTGGATTCATATCAGACTTTGCATACCTTTCCACCGTCCCTTTAGGCACACCGAAAGTTTTTGAAGCCTTTAAATAACCCATCTGTTTACTTCTTACTAGTGCTGGCAAAAACCGGAAAAAAGTGAAACCGGTTAACCGGGTTCCGTAAAAACCGATTTCAGATAAAACCGGTTAGTCGAATAGTTGCTAAAACCGGTTACTCGAATAACCCGTTACTTGATTCGCCAAAACCGGATATCTGAAAATCGGTGCTTTACAAAGACAGGCCCGGAGAAATTGATGTCTAAAAAAAAGGTCTTTACAAAAATCTGGAAGTCAAATTTGTTTACAAAGAAATCGATCTCCAAAAAAAAGGTCAATTGCAATCCGACAAATCGATGTCTAAAAAAAAGGAAGTAGATTATCGAATAATCGGTTATTAGAATAATCGGATATTTGAAGAATCGAATAACCGAATAACCGGTTTTCGGATTTCGTAAAAATCCGAATTATCCGAAACCGGTTAACCGACTATCCAAAAAACCGATTTCAGTTGCCAGCACTACTTCTTACAGCGTTTACGGCTTGTATCATCATTTGGATTCCATTTTCTGTATTTTGGCGGCATCTGCAATGACAAAGTCAGCAAAATTAAAACCGAAATTCAGGATCCTAATTTGAGATACTCTCAAATTAGGATCCTGAATTATGCTCCTAATTTGAGATATTCTCAAATTAGGAGCATAGTAGGTATCCCAAATTAGGAATTTTCCGTTAAAAATATGTTCAAATATTTTTGAGGTTATGCATACAACAAAAGTTAACCAACAATTCATAAAACACTCAAGTGACTATTAAACTACATTCCATTAAACCGTGCATTATTTATTTATTTTACCACTATTTGGAATAATTTCTCATATTATTAGGTAAGAAAGAGGGAAAATAGAAGCCTTTGGAATTCTATGACTAAGTTATGCGATAATAGCAATTGGACTAATGAGCCCATTATACAGGGTGTCCATAAATGGTCTGTACAACGCTCTACCAAATATAGTACGGCTCAAAATAAGTCGATTTAACTAAACATGCCTTAGTCCAAAAATAAAAGAGCTGTAACAGCGTTATATTATTACGACCATTATTTTCTTTTAACACATTCATTTCAGGACGCCAGTGATTTTACTGATCTTTACTACAGCCATAATACCTCTTATTTATGATACTGTGTCTATTTCACCGCTTTCGCTAGACTCCGTTTGTTTTTTCATTAGCATCCACTTCACTACTTTTTTTATTAATTTTATAGATCTCAACTTGTGCATGTTAGCGTGCGGATTTCATTCATTTACATCATCAACAGCGTTAAAGGAGACTATTTACAATTAATTAGCAAAAAATATATGTGTAAAAGACGAGGTAAATTAATTAATAAATGGACTTCCTACTTTACTACAGGCGTAGAAAAAATTAAATAGCCAACAGTTCTATCTTCTTATTAATAAGCTGACCTAGATGATAATTTGCTTAAAATATAAAAATTATTCATGGTTGTTCCTCATAGAAGTTATTTTGTCCAATCCGCGGAATTATATGAATGTAAATGTAGGAAATTAGTTTATTTTATTATTCTGAAATGTTATGATGAAAGCACACAACTGAAATTAAAATTTACACCATATTCAAAATTGTTATTTGCCATAAATATACAATATGATATGATTCACAACTTATGTAAAAAAATTTGGGAATAGATGCTTTATGAAAAATGGAGTCAATATAGAAAAAAAAATTGTAAAATCATAGTTTCCAAGAAAAAAAATCATTGAAGTTGTAGTATTTACAACCTTTACATCGCTGGGCTATGTAGTCTCTAGTGTCATTTGCGTTATGCGCTGTGCGCAATGCGCTCTCTCCACGTGGCCCCAGGCGATTTCGAACTCTGAAATCCGATTTTAATGTTTTTCGATAGTGTTTACATTAATATTAAAAATGGCTTACGTGCATAGCGACTCCGGTTGATGGATGTTGTTTTAATTTATGGTGAAGCAAGACAACATTTGTGTAACACAAAAACCGGGTAAAACGGACTCAAATGTCGGTGGACGAAATTTTTAACAGTTGCTGTAGCATCAGGTACCACAAATTAATTTTATTAATTAATAATAACAATTTTATGTAGATATTTTTTTCGTTAGGAAAGAAATTTTTTCAATTTTTTGTCCGTTCATTTTTTATTACACTTTGCAGCCGTGCCAGTCGCCGACTACATGCTTAGGTTAGGTTTTACTGTGAACCGGTTTCCAGTGCCGTACAAAAGTGTATTTTTAAATCATTTTCGAATTGCCCTTTTTGATTTTTTTTTACAAAATTTTATTTGTAAGAGTCCCCTGTACAAGGTGTCTCAAACTCGATAGTATGGGCCTACTGTAAGGATACAAAAAAATTAAATAACATTTGGGGCACGTGGTCTTAAATGGGATGAAGGAACCTTCATTTTCAATCGAAAGTATTATCTTTGGGATTTGACAGAAACGACTAACGACGGCATCAATTATATTCTTTCCAGAAACATACCCAATTTTTTTAATTTTTTTTTTTCGTTTTAAAAAGCACTCTATTTTCTAAAAAACTTTTATTAGAGAACTTTTTCTGTATTACTTCCTGTTTAAAAGTTATAAGCAATATCAGCCTAAAGAGTATCAAAAGAAATACCACCTAAAAATCACATAAGCAGTGGAAGGATCAAGTAGTCATTGGAAATAATCGATTGTTCGTTGTTAAAATAAATGTTACAAAATACTTGTCATTACTCAATACGAATGTCAAAAGTATAACTTCTGTGCTTACAAAATGTTTTCACATCCATCTCTAAACTGGGTTTTAAGATATGCCACATCAATAACAAAAGTTGAAGTATAATTTTTCATGCAAATACTGTAACGCAGATTTATTTTCAGCTATATTGCTATTAATAATTATATTATATTAATTATTATTACCTAATTGCAAATAAAAATTACAGTTTACAAATATTTCATAATGTTGCTATGAAAAAAATAACAGTATAATAGAAGTTTTTCCGGAATATTCACAATCACAATCTTTTTATTCAGTATTTCAGAAAACACATCATTAAAAAATCTTACAAAAAAAGGTAATTTTATTTCCTTTTTTAATATCCGTTAAAATCGCTGTAAAATGATTATATTCTCTTATTTCTCATTTTTCGCAAATTAATCAATGTAATTAAAGCTGATTTGGTAGATTTTAATACTTACAACTGCACAAAACCAAAATTTGCTTTTACATTCAAATACTGCCTCGCTTATACTGCAAAATGAGAAATATTAATTGTTTTTAACCCTTAATATTTAATTCGATTTTTCTTGGAGACGATAAAGGTTAACCATGAGTATCTTTTCGTAAGATTTTAATGAAAATTATGATCAATTCGCTCGCAGGTAAGGGCCACTTAAGCCTTTTAGATATCTAAAGATTTTATTTTATTATTTTTTTTCGTAGATTTCGTGTTACCAATAATGTCTATCAAATTTGAAAAAAATCACTTAATAGAAAACTGACATTTGTACTATTATTTTTGTAAGTGGAATCACAACCATCAAAGTTTCATGTGATCTAATTTGTATGAATTTGGAACCATTTTTAGAATTAAATATAAGAGCTAATACTTATTAAATATAACTTTTAAAAATAATAATTCTATAAAGGCAACAACAACAACAATAATATGGCTTTAATAATATTTTCACAATATATGCAGATGATTTATCATTAATTATTTCAAATAAGTCAACAAAGGACCTGACTACTAATTTAGAAAATGCATTGTACAATGTGTCTAATTGTAAGTGGTTCAGTTGTGATCAATTGTGATCAATTGATCAATATATATTAAAATCTGATAGCTCCGTCTGCGTCGCACGATCGCCTCGAAAAAGGGCCGATCTCCCGGACGATAGGCTCTTTCCGGGGGCCGCGAAGCGGCGGGAGTCTCGGCGAGAAGCGTCGCGACGTCCTTCCCGCGTTGCGACGTCGTATTTAGAACGCGCTAACTCGACGCCTTCCCCATGAATTTTTCGAATTCCCCAGGCTCTGCGAGGGGCGTGGCCCAATTTTTGTGTGAACGGCGATAGTCCGACACGCCCTCCCGCTGCAAGCTGACGGTCGCCGATCGCCTCGAATCGCGCCCGGGTACGGCTTTTTTATTTTTTATTTCCCCCATTTTCTACGATATTTCATTTAAAACCGTGCCGAAAATACTCATATTCGTCGACCGGGTGCCTTCTTCCAACTTTTTATGTACAACTTTCCGCGAAATCAAACGCGGGATTCGAAATGCGGCCGTAAATACGTTAAAATGCACTGTCTAGGAAGGCCGAAAAATTGTGAATTTTGCCGCATAAAATTTCTTCTTCGCGAGCCTCGAAACGGCGTGCGACTTGGCACAGATACTCAGTCGTTCCTCCTTAGTCGTTCGGGGGCATTTTTGTAACGTTTTTTTCGCGTTTTCATATTTAATTTTGCCTTCTTTTTGGGGTCTGCTCGACGACAGACGACCATTTCGCAAGCCGTAAGATTGAAGCTTTAAGACACGCCCACCGGGAGAAAATTGGAACGTCGTTAGAAACGTCAGATTAATTATGTCAAAATAATTTCACGCCAAACGCGAAAGACGTCTGTGGGGTCGCGACGAACCGTTATTTTACCTTACTAGGCCTTTTTTAACCTTAATACATTGCTACGCCACGACATATA